TAAGTCCATTTATCGTCTTATTTTCAAAATTCCTGGTTTCGTGTATATAAAATTTTTCTCTATTCTAAAATTTGTAAACTGCATCTCTATAATCTTCTCAAATATATTGATGTCTAAAAGATTCCAAAGTCCTATATACGATTTCATTAGTGTTTTGTTTATAACGTTTTCTAAATTATTACTTATCAATAAATATATTAATTTATTCGTTTTTTTATTATTTTAAATTCCTTATCTTCTACTTTCGATCTTTTCAAACGTATGATACTTAATGCTATACAATTAGTTTAAAATGTATTATCTAGTGTATTGTAATATTCTTAATATTTTGTTACCGGTATGCATTCATTCTATTTGCTGACGATATTCAAAAAGGTATTTTTGTGTATAAAGTTTATTCTATTGCCTAGAAACGAAAATGTCAGCGTTTCTTTCATTTTATCTATACGGAAAAATAGAAAGGAATTAAAATTAAAAAAAAAAAGGTAAAGAAATACGCTCATTAAGTTCATCGATCCTCTTTTTTACAAGTTCTTGTGCGATATATTCCAAACTTAACTAAATCAAAAATTATCTTTTTTAAAATTTTTAAAACTGCATCGCTATGATCTTCTCCAATATGATGATGTCTAAATGATTGCAATCTCACACATACAAAAGCATTAGTGTTTTGGTCATTACCTTTTTTTAGTTATTGCATTTTAACAGATTTTTGAAAGTTAAATTCCGGAAGAATAGAGAAAAATAAATTAAATGTAACAAGATACCGTGATTTGGATCCTTCTTACATTTGAACAACAAATAATTTTCCTGTGTTTCAGATTTCGAAAATTTCTCATAACTTTCTTATCTTCTACTTTCCATTTCTTTCGATGTATGATACTTAATGCTGTGAAATAGGTTAAAATATATTATCAAGTGTCTAGTGTATTGTTAATAATATTTAATGACTGGCATGCATATATTCTATTTGCTGACGATAAATATTTTTGTGTTGGAAGTGCATTCTATTGAATAGAATCGATTATTTCAGCGTTTTGTTTATTTTACCTGGATGAAAAGAAAAAATATACAAGAAATACCTTCTTTACGTCCATTTATCTTTTTATTTAAAAAATTACTGGTTTCGTGTATATCAAATTTTTCTCTATTCTAAAATTTGTAAACTGCATCTCTATAATCTTCTCAAATATATTGATGTCTAAAAGATTCCAAAATCCTAGATACGAATTCATTAGTGTTTTGTTTATAACGTTTTCTAAATTATTACTTATCAATAAATATATTAATTTATTAATCAGAATACCAGAAAAATAAAAATAAATGTATTAAATGTTCCAAGATACCTGCATTTCTCTCCATCTTATACTTGAATAAAAATTTATTTCCACCGATTTTCAGATTCCTAAAATTTTTCGTTTTTTTATTATTTTAAATTGCTTATCTTCTACTTTCGATCATTTCAAGCGTCTGATTTTTAATGCTATACAATTAATTTAAAATGTATTATCTAGTGTGTTGTAATATTCTTAATATTTTGTTAACGGTATGCTTTCATTATATTTGCTGACGATATTCAAAAAGGTATTTTGTGTATAAAGTTTATTCTATTGCCTAGAAACGAAAATGTCATCGTTTCTTTCATTTTATCAATATGGAAAAATAGAAAGGAATTAAAATTAAAAAAAAAGGTAAAGAAATACGCTCATTAAGTTTATCGATCCTCTTTTTTACAAGTTCTTGTGGGATGTATTCCAAACTTAACTAAATCAAAAATTATCTTTTTTAAAATTTTTAAAACTGCATCGCTATGCTCTTCTAGAATATGATGATGTCTAAATGATTGCAATCTCACACATACAAAAGCATTAGTGTTTTGGTCATTACCTTTTTTTAGTTATTGCATTTTAACAGATTTATGAAAGTTTAATTTCGAAAGAAGAAAGAAAAATAAATTAAATGTAACAAGATACCGTGATTTGGACCCTTCTTATATTTGAACAAAAAATAATGTTCTTGTGTTTCAGATTCCGAAAATTTCATATAAATTTCTTATCTTCTACTTACTATTCCTCCGATGTATGATACTTAATGCTGTGAAATACGTTAAAATATATTATCTAGTGTCTAGTGTATTATTAATAATATTTAATGACTGGCATGCATATATTCTATTTGCTGACGATAGATATTTTTGTGTTGAAAGTGTATTCTATTGCCTAGCAACGATTATTTTATGGTTTTGTTCATTTTACCTAGATGAATACAAAAAATATACAAGAAATACCGTCTTTAAGTCCAGTTATTGTCTTATTTTCAAAATTCCTGGTTTCGTGTATATAAAATTTTTCTCTATTTTAAAATTTGTAAACTGCATCTCTATAATCTTCTCAAATATATTGATGTCTAAAAGATTCCAAAGTCCTATATACGATTTCATTAGTGTTTTGTTTATAACGTTTTCTAAATTATTACTTATCAATAAATATATTAATTTATTCGTTTTTTTATTATTTTAAATTCCTTATCTTCTACTTTCGATCTTTTCAAACGTATGATACTTAATGCTATACAATTAGTTTAAAATGTATTATCTAGTGTATTGTAATATTCTTAATATTTTGTTACCGGTATGCATTCATTCTATTTGCTGACGATATTCAAAAAGGTATTTTTGTGTATAAAGTTTATTCTATTGCCTAGAAACGAAAATGTCAGCGTTTCTTTCATTTTATCTATACGGAAAAATAGAAAGGAATTAAAATTAAAAAAAAAAGGTAAAGAAATACGCTCATTAAGTTCATCGATCCTCTTTTTTACAAGTTCTTGTGCGATATATTCCAAACTTAACTAAATCAAAAATTATCTTTTTTAAAATTTTTAAAACTGCATCGCTATGATCTTCTCCAATATGATGATGTCTAAATGATTGCAATCTCACACATACAAAAGCATTAGTGTTTTGGTCATTACCTTTTTTTAGTTATTGCATTTTAACAGATTTTTGAAAGTTTAATTTCGGAAGAAGAGAGAAAAATAAATTAAATGTAACAAGATACCGTGATTTGGATCCTTCTTATATTTGAACAAAAAATAATTTTCCTGTGTTTCAGATTTTGAAAATTTCTCATAACTTTCTTATCTTCTACTTTCCATTTCTTCCGATGTATGATACTTAATGCTGTGAAATAGGTTAAAATATATTATCAAGTGTCTAGTGTATTGTTAATAATATTTAATGACTGGCATGCATATATTCTATTTGCTGACGATAAATATTTTTGTGTTGAAAGTGCATTCTATTGAATAGAATTGATTATTTCAGCGTTTTGTTTATTTTACCTGGATGAAAAGAAAAAATATACAAGAAATACCGTCTTTACGTCCATTTATCGTTTTATTTAAAATATTCCTGGTTTCGTGTATATCAAATTTTTCTCTATTCTAAAATTTGTAAACTGCATCTCTATAATCTTCTCAAATATATTGATGTCTAAAAGATTCCAAAATCCTAGATACGAATTCATTAGTGTTTTGTTTATAACGTTTTCTAAATTATTACTTATCAATAAATATATTAATTTATTAATCAGAATTCCAGAAAAATAAAAATAAATATATTAAATGTTACAAGATACCGGCATTTCTCTCCATCTTATACTTGAATAAAAACTATTTCCACCGATTTTCAGATTCCTAAATTTTTTCGTTTTTTTATTATTTTAAATTCCTTATCTTCTACTTTCGATCTTTTCAAACGTATGATACTTAATGCTATACAATTAATTTAAAATGTATTATCTAGTGTATTGTAATATTCTTAATATTTTGTTGCCGGTATGCATTCATTCTATTTGCTGACGATATTCAAAAAGGTATTTTTGTGTATAAAGTTTATTCTATTGCCTAGAAACGAAAATGTCAGCGTTTCTTTCATTTTATCTATATGGAAAAATAGAAAGGAATTAAAATTAAAAAAAAAGGTAAAGAAATACGCTCATTAAGTTTATCGATCCTCTTTTTTACAAGTTCTTGTGGGATATATTCCAAACTTAACTAAATCAAAAATTATCTTTTTTAAAATTTTTAAAACTGCATCGCTATGATCTTCTCCAATATGATGATGTCTAAATGATTGCAATCTCTAACATACAAAAGCATTAGTGTTTTGGTCATTACCTTTTTTTAGTTATTGCATTTTAACAGATTTTTGAAAGTTTAATTTCGGAAGAAGAGAGAAAAATAAATTAAATGTAACAAGATACCGTGATTTGGATCCTTCTTATATTTGAACAAAAAATAATTTTCCTGTGTTTCAGATTCCGAAAATTTCTTATAAATTTCTTATCTTCTACTTTCCATTTCTTCCGATGTATGATACTTAATGCTGTGAAATAGGTTAAAATATATTATCAAGTGTCTAGTGTATTGTTAATAATATTTAATGACTGGCATGCATATATTCTATTTGCTGACGATAAATATTTTTGTGTTGAAAATGCATTCTATTGAATAGAATTGATTATTTCAGCGTTTTGTTTATTTTACCTGGATGAAAAGAAAAAATATACAAGAAATACCGTCTTTACGTCCATTTATCGTTTAATTTAAAAAATTCCTGGTTTCGTGTATATCAAATTTTTCTCTATTCTAAAATTTGTAAACTGCATCTCTATAATCTTCTCAAATATATTGATGTCTAAAAGATTCCAAAATCCTAGATACGAATTCATTAGTGTTTTGTTTATAACGTTTTCTAAATTATTACTTATCAATAAATATAATAATTTATTAATCAGAATTCCAGAAAAATAAAAAAAAATATATTAAATGTTACAAGATACCGGCATTTCTCTCCATCTTATACTAGAATAAAATACTATATTCCCGCCGATTTTCAGATTCCTAAAATTTTTCGTTTTTAATTTTTTTAAATTCCTTATCTTCTACTTTCGATCTTTTCAAACGTATGATACTTAATGCTATACAATTAGTTTAAAATGTATTATCTAGTGTATTGTAATATTCTTAATATTTTGTTACCGGTATGCATTCATTCTATTTGCTGACGATATTCAAAAAGGTATTTTGTGTATAAAGTTTATTCTATTGCCTAGAAACGAAAATGTCAGCGTTTCTTTCATTTTATCTATATGGAAAAATAGAAAGGAATTAAAATTAAAAAAAAAGGTAAAGAAATACGCTCATTAAGTTTATCGATCCTCTTTTTTACAAGTTCTTGTGGGATATATTCCAAACTTAACTAAATCAAAAATTATCTTTTTTAAAATTTTTAAAACTGCATCGCTATGATCTTCTCCAATATGATGATGTCTAAATGATTGCAATCTCACACATACAAAAGCATTAGTGTTTTGGTCATTACCTTTTTTTAGTTATTGCATTTTAACAAATTTTTGAAAGTTTAATTTCGGAAGAAGAGAGAAAAATAAATTAAATGTAACAAGATACCGTGATTTGGATCCTTCTTATATTTGAACAAAAAATAATTTTCCTGTGTTTCAGATTCCGAAAATTTCTTATAAATTTCTTATCTTCTACTTTCCATTTCTTCCGATGTATGATACTTAATGCTGTGAAATACGTTAAAATATATTATCTAGTGTCTAGTGTATTATTAATAATATTTAATGACTGGCATGCATATATTCTATTTGCTGACGATAGATATTTTTGTGTTGAAAGTGTATTCTATTGCCTAGCAACGATTATTTTATGGTTTTGTTCATTTTACCTAGATGAATACAAAAAATATACAAGAAATACCGTCTTTAAGTCCATTTATCGTCTTATTTTCAAAATTCCTGGTTTCGTGTATATCAAATTTTTCTCTATTCTAAAATTTGTAAACTGCATCTCTATAATCTTCTCAAATATATTGATGTTTTAAAGATTCCAAAATCCTAGATACGATTCCATTAGTGTTTTGTTTATAACGTTTTCTAAATTATTACTTATCAATAAATATATTAATTTATTCGTTTTTTTATTATTTTAAATTCCTTATCTTCTACTTTCGATCTTTTCAAACGTATGATACTTAATGCTATACAATTAGTTTAAAATGTATTATCTAGTGTATTGTAATATTCTTAATATTTTGTTACCGGTATGCATTCATTCTATTTGCTGACGATATTCAAAAAGGTATTTTTGTGTATAAAGTTTATTCTATTGCCTAGAAACGAAAATGTCAGCGTTTCTTTCATTTTATCTATATGGAAAAATAGAAAGGAATTAAAATTAAAAAAAAAGGTAAAGAAATACGCTCATTAAGTTCATCGATCCTCTTTTTTACAAGTTCTTGTGCGATATATTCCAAACTTAACTAAATCAAAAATTATCTTTTTTAAAATTTTTAAAACTACATCGCTATGATCTTCTCCAATATGATGATGTCTAAATGATTGAGATCTCTAACATACAAAAGCATTAGTGTTTTGGTCATTACCTTTTGTTAGTTATTCCATTTTAACAGATTTTTGAAAGTTTAATTTCGGAAGAAGAGAGAAAAATAAATTATATGTAACAAGATACCGTGATTTGGATCCTTCTTATATTTGAACAAAAAATAATTTTCCTGTGTTTCAGATTCCGAAAATTTCTTATAAATTTCTTATCTTCTACTTTCCATTTCTTCCGATGTATGATACTTAATGCTGTGAAATAGGTTAAAATATATTATCAAGTGTCTAGTGTATTGTTAATAATATTTAATGACTGGCATGCATATATTCTATTTGCTGACGATAAATATTTTTGTGTTGAAAATGCATTCTATTGAATAGAATTGATTATTTCAGCGTTTTGTTTATTTTACCTGGATGAAAAGAAAAAATATACAAGAAATACCGTCTTTACGTCCATTTATCGTTTAATTTAAAAAATTCCTGGTTTCGTGTATATAAAATTTTTCTCTATTCTAAAATTTGTAAACTGCATCTCTATAATCTTCTCAAATATATTGATGTCTAAAAGATTCCAAAATCCTAGATACGAATTCATTAGTGTTTTGTTTATAACGTTTTCTAAATTATTACTTATCAATAAATATATTAATTTATTAATCAGAATTCCAGAAAAATAAAAATAAATATATTAAATGTTACAAGATACCGGCATTTCTCTCCATCTTATACTTGAATAAAAAACTATTTCCACCGATTTTCAGATTCCTAAAATTTTTCGTTTTTTTATTATTTTAAATTCCTTATCTTCTACTTTCGATCTTTTCAAACGTATGATACTTAATGCTATACAATTAATTTAAAATGTATTATCTAGTGTATTGTAATATTCTTAATATTTTGTTGCCGGTATGCATTCATTCTATTTGCTGACGATATTCAAAAAGGTATTTTTGTGTATAAAGTTTATTCTATTGCCTAGAAACGAAAATGTCAGCGTTTCTTTCATTTTATCTATATGGAAAAATAGAAAGGAATTAAAATTAAAAAAAAAGGTAAAGAAATACGCTCATTAAGTTTATCGATCCTCTTTTTTACAAGTTCTTGTGGGATATATTCCAAACTTAACTAAATCAAAAAATTATATTTTTTAAAACTGCATCGCTATGATCTTCTCCAATATGATGATGTCTAAATGATTGCAATCTCACACATACAAAAGCATTAGTGTTTTGGTCATTACCTTTTTTAGTTATTGCATTTTAACAGATTTTTGAAAGTTTAATTCCGGAAGAATAGAGAAAAATAAATTAAATGTAACAAGATACCGTGATTTGGATCCTTCTTATATTTGAACAAAAAATAATTTTCCTGTGTTTCAGATTTCGAAAATTTCTCATAACTTTCTTATCTTCTACTTTCCATTTCTTCCGATGTATGATACTTAATGCTGTGAAATAGGTTAAAATATATTATCAAGTGTCTAGTGTATTGTTAATAATATTTAATGACTGGCATGCATATATTCTATTTGCTGACGATAGATATTTTTGTGTTGAAAGTGTATTCTATTGCCTAGCAACGATTATTTTATGGTTTTTTTCATTTTACCTAGATGAATACAAAAAATATACAAGAAATACCGTCTTTAAGTCCATTTATCGTCTTATTTTCAAAATTCCTGGTTTCGTGTATATCAAATTTTTCTCTATTTTAAAATTTGTAAACTGCATCTCTATAATCTTCTCAAATATATTGATGTCTAAAAGATTCCAAAGTCCTATATACGATTTCATTAGTGTTTTGTTTATAACGTTTTCTAAATTATTACTTATTGCAATCTCACACATACAAAAGCATTAGTGTTTTGGTCATTACCTTTTTTTAGTTATTGCATTTTAACAGATTTATGAAAGTTTAATTTCGAAAGAAGAAAGAAAAATAAATTAAATGTAACAAGATACCGTGATTTGGACCCTTCTTATATTTGAACAAAAAATAATGTTCTTGTGTTTCAGATTCCGAAAATTTCATATAAATTTCTTATCTTCTACTTACTATTCCTCCGATGTATGATACTTAATGCTGTGAAATACGTTAAAATATATTATCTAGTGTCTAGTGTATTATTAATAATATTTAATGACTGGCATGCATATATTCTATTTGCTGACGATAGATATTTTTGTGTTGAAAGTGTATTCTATTGCCTAGCAACGATTATTTTATGGTTTTGTTCATTTTACCTAGATGAATACAAAAAATATACAAGAAATACCGTCTTTAAGTCCAGTTATTGTCTTATTTTCAAAATTCCTGGTTTCGTGTATATAAAATTTTTCTCTATTTTAAAATTTGTAAACTGCATCTCTATAATCTTCTCAAATATATTGATGTCTAAAAGATTCCAAAGTCCTATATACGATTTCATTAGTGTTTTGTTTATAACGTTTTCTAAATTATTACTTATCAATAAATATATTAATTTATTCGTTTTTTTATTATTTTAAATTCCTTATCTTCTACTTTCGATCTTTTCAAACGTATGATACTTAATGCTATACAAATAGTTTAAAATGTATTATCTAGTGTATTGTAATATTCTTAATATTTTGTTACCGGTATGCATTCATTCTATTTGCTGACGATATTCAAAAAGGTATTTTGTGTATAAAGTTTATTCTATTGCCTAGAAACGAAAATGTCAGCGTATTTTTCATTTTATCTATATGGAAAAATAGAAAGGAATTAAAATAAAAAAAAAGGTAAAGAAATACGCTCATTAAGTTCATCGATCCTCTTTTTTACAAGATCTTGTGCGATATATTCCAAACTTAACTAAATCAAAAATTATCTTTTTTAAAATTTTTAAAACTGCATCGCTATGATCTTCTCCAATATGATGATGTCTAAATGATTGCAATCTCTCACATACAAAAGCGTTAGTGTTTTGGTCATTACCTTTTCTTAGTTATTGCATTTTAACAAATTTTTGAAAGTTTAATTTCGGAAGAAGAGAGAAAAATAAATTAAATGTAACAAGATACCGTGATTTGGATCCTTCTTATATTTGAACAAAAAATAATTTTCCTGTGTTTCAGATTTTGAAAATTTCTCATAACTTTCTTATCTTCTACTTTCCATTTCTTCCGATGTATGATACTTAATGCTGTGAAATAGGTTAAAATATATTATCAAGTGTCTAGTGTATTGTTAATAATATTTAATGACTGGCATGCATATATTCTATTTGCTGACGATAAATATTTTTGTGTTGAAAATGCATTCTATTGAATAGAATTGATTATTTCAGCGTTTTGTTTATTTTACCTGGATGAAAAGAAAAAATATACAAGAAATACCGTCTTTACGTCCATTTATCGTTTAATTTAAAAAATTCCTGGTTTCGTGTATATCAAATTTTTCTCTATTCTAAAATTTGTAAACTGCATCTCTATAATCTTCTCAAATATATTGATGTCTAAAAGATTCCAAAATCCTAGATACGAATTCATTAGTGTTTTGTTTATAACGTTTTCTAAATTATTACTTATCAATAAATATATTAATTTATTAATCAGAATTCCAGAAAAAGAAAAATAAATATATTAAATGTTACAAGATACCGGCATTTCTCTCCATCTTATACTTGAATAAAAAACTATTTCCACCGATTTTCAGATTCCTAAAATTTTTCATTTTTTTATTATTTTAAATTCCTTATCTTCTACTTTCGAGCTTTTCAAACGTATGATACTTAATGCTATACAAATAGTTTAAAATGTATTATCTAGTGTATTGTAATATTCTTAATATTTTGTTACCGGTATGCATTCATTCTATTTGCTGACGATATTCAAAAAGGTATTTTTGTGTATAAAGTTTATTCTATTGCCTAGAAACGAAAATGTCAGCGTTTCTTTCATTTTATCTATATGGAAAAATAGAAAGGAATTAAAATTAAAAAAAAAGGTAAAGAAATACGCTCATTAAGTTTATCGATCCTCTTTTTTACAAGTTCTTGTGGGATATATTCCAAACTTAACTAAATCAAAAAATTATCTTTTTTAAAATTTTTAAAACTGCATCGCTACGATCTTCTCCAATATGATGATGTCTAAATGATTGCAATCTCTCACTTACAAAAGCGTTAGTGTTTTGGTCATTACCTTTTCTTAGTTATTGCATTTTAACAAATTTTTGAAAGTTTAATTTCGGAAGAAGAGAGAAAAATAAATTAAATGTAACAAGATACCGTGATTTGGATCCTTATTATGTTTGAACAAAAAATAATTTTCATGTGTTTCAGATTCCGAAAATTTCTTATAAATTTCTTATCT